AATGTGCTAGCCTGAATGCAGAGCCAGCACCACACCACGAAAAGCCTTTGGTGCCGGTATCCAGGAAGGTTTGCTCGCGATCTCGTTTTCCCAGATGCTAAGTCCTTTAGGTCCTTGCGATCAGGTTTCCGAAATGGACCAGAAATTTCGAACATCACCGCAGATCCAGCTCACACTAGACATGTCTGCAAAGCTATTTCATGTCCTGTTTTTGTCAGAAATTCGATAATATCCTTGGAATGACCTAAGGGATTTCCAATCTTTTCGCAAGCAGACTCTTGGAGGTAGCCAGAGGACGTCAAGACCTTATCGCTGGCTTGGCTCCCTGTAGCGTCTGCACTCTGATCTTCGACGAGGACAGCTGCATGAGGGAGGGGGGATTTCTGTCGGTTCATCTTGTGTACAATAGATTCGTGTGGGCAAAGTTAACACAAACATAACGGGCTACATGTTCCTCTGGGCTTGCCAAGGTAGAGTGTATGAGTCAGTCCTTCTGGGGGTAGAACCGGCACTTCAGAATCACTTTATCACACAACTTCCAAGATGACATCCATGAAGCGTCATCGCTGGAATGCGTCAAGAAAATACTGGTACTTCAACCGGAATAAGGGAATGGATTCGAAGTGGAACTCGTCCTTATTATCGCCCCGTGGTTCAGTCCATAGTAAGCTTTCCTGCAAAGCAGCATTATGGGCTACCTGGCTAGAGCTACCTCGGGATGCGTTGCCTTGCGCTAGGATGATGCAGCTGCTCGGAATTACTCGCATGTAGAAAAAAACCTCAGTGCACATTCCACCGTCGGAGTCCCTACTTCAGGAGGCCTACAGATGCAGGACTTCTATGGAGCTCGTGACTCTCTACACGCGCCGGGCCGGGGCACCCGATACACCTCCCATGCGACAAGAGGATTCCACGGCAAATCTAGGGCCAGGAGGTATTGGTTGTGCTATGTGTTGATGGACTGGTTGAACCTAGAGCCCCTTAATAACAGTGAGGGCCTGCAGTTATTCGTACACTGCTGATGAATAGCTCACGCTTCGAGGAACAGAAGCCGGAAGCCTTCCACACGCTGCAAGCATAGCATACGCATTTTCGTTCTCAGAGATGCAAGTTATCTCGTATCCAAGTTGCGGCACTCGTGAAAGCTCTGCCTTCCTAGCCTCGCCATTGTGATGCATTTAGGTTTCAAGAAGTCTTGGTGCGCTGTCACAGGTCAACGCCCACCGACAGATCTACAAAGATCAGCTCGCCCGGTCCTTGATCAGCAGACGAGCTAGTCGTCTCTAGTGACAGATGCATAGCCACCTTGAAGTAGTTGATACAATCTGGAATCTCTTTTCAACAGTTAGCTGGCTTTGACGCGCTTCTGGCATGAGTGTCTGTGAGTCTTGATCCCAACAATCCAGCTGACAAGGAGGGGGAGCCTCTGGCCATCGTCGGGTGGTCCTTCACTTGCCAGGTTCCCAGGTCCAGCTGCGGAAAGTAAAGGAGCTCATGTGTTCCTTCTTATGTTCCTCAGCCTTTTGAGGAGGAGTCCAACTTTTGCTCAAGCATCCAGGGATGTAGTCAGGAGAAAGGGGTCAAACAAATGCAAGTTCAGCCACCTCGCGGACGGCAGCCATGAGAGATAGAAGCGATTCCGCACTGTAACTGTGCTCTGCTTCAGAGGGGACTGTCTTCCTGAAGCCCATAAACTGACTTAAGGTATTCCTAAGTTTGGGAAACTCTAATCCTTATAAGCCCTCCCCCTATACGCCATATAAAGCCCTACACATACCAGAGTGGAGAGACAGACCAAGGCCCATTGTCCAGAGCTTTAGCTGCCTGCCTCGAGAAAGCTGGGGCCGGGGCCTTTCCGTGGCCTTGGGGTGGGAAATACATGGGATATATAGGGGATACTGGAAAAGAAAATGGAAACCACGATTTAGGGTTTAGGGTATCCTACCACATGGCTGCAGTGGGGGAACTTAAGCTAAGTTATTGTTCAAGGAAATCCTATTTTATACTTTATATCCCTAGTTTGGTAGCTTAATTTAAGTTCCTTAACAGCAACCCAGCATACTAGGGGCGGAGAGAGCAGGAACATCCATAATGTGGCTGGTTGGAGGTTAAAAGTTTGCAGGGCTTACGCCGAGGGTGAGGCATGGTTTAGTCTGAACAAGTTTTTGGGCGACGAGTCTTATATATCAGATGACGCGAATGCCAGGGTTGCAAGAGGTCGGGGCGTCGACACCCAAATTTTATGCTACCCTTTTATCAAGCAGTTCACGGTGAAGAGCCGTTACGATCAGTGACCTCACATCCGCACCTTTAGCATTAGGGCAGCCCGCGGTACTGCATCACGCTGCATCGTTTAGGCCAGGTGGCGGCGCTAAACCACTGCTTGTTGGGTCGGCCAAGAGCAAGATGCACTTCGTCCACTCTGCATCATGGCCTCCATATATACATATGTACACTCTATTATAGTAGTTTCCATTTTCTTTCCCATTATCCCAATGTAGCCCTAATATTACCCCAATGGATCCCCATCAAAGCCGGTTCAAACTTATGCCGCTGCGAGGTTTGATGTTGACGCCAGGCAAACATTCTGCTTCAGCTCAGCACGATTAAAAAGCAGCATGATAAGCCTTCACGATTTCTAACGCTGCTACAGACAAGCATCATCCGGTCATCACCTTCACCAACTAGCTTACAGACTGGAACTCAAGTGGTGCCAGAAGGCCACTTCGGAGTCCTTCCGGCAAAGTCCCGAAGTTCTGTAAAACAGATGATGGGTCGCCCGTGCACCCCCAAACCCTGAAAGCCATTATGCAGAGCTGAGCTGCACAAGTCTCTCCTATAACCCTCAGAGACATCATATCTCTCTTCATACCCCTGCTTAAGTAATTCCTAAATAGCCCTGAAACTACCATAGACCTCTATACCTCCAAACAAGGTTGAAGATGTTCGCCTCATCCTCCTGGGTGATAACGAGCAGCTCCTACCGGCGATCCCACGACATCCAGAGGTGCGGGGTCTCTTCTCGGATCTCATATAGGGGCAAGATATGGGTTCCAACTTGTTGGGAATGTGAGCGTCTTCGGTTGTCATTTGTTTCTTCACAGTTCTGTGCCGTTCGTTTGACATGTTTAAAGAGCATCTGGGGTAGATAGGCTGCAGGGCATGCGAGAGTTGATTCCATAAGATCGGGGAGCCTGATTCTGAGACACCTCTGCACAGCATTTTTTTTTAGAAAGTGGCGTCACCCAAAACCCTAAAGCCCAAGCCCGAATGCATGTTTAGGATGCGGATGGCGCGGACGTTTGGCTTGGAGGCCCCATCGAGGCTCGTTCCATGGCCCTTACCTTGCTACTTGCTAGTAGGGAAGCAAGGAATGGAAAATCAAATGGAGACTTCTATATATTCATTTAATGGCTGCCGCCACTTCCACCGACCCCGTGAATCCTCCTGGGTCGAGGGCTTTGGGTCTGTCCGTTAAGCCGTTATATACACCAGCCAGTGGAGGCTTGGGGGAGGGGGGGTGGGACTTGCTGAGTGCTGATGTTCATAATTTGTTAGGATTCTGTGAGTTGATGGACATGAAGTCCTTGCATGAAATACTGGGTGCTGAAACTGTGGACTGAACTGATCCTCGCTGTAAAGAAGTGTTTGGACATGTCTGTTGTTGTTCGTTTGTTCGCCGCCTATGAGTGGTGAGTTCGCCGCCTCTGCGTGGCGTGTTGCCGCGTTGAGCGTAGGTTTAATGTCTACTTATGTGGTCTCTGCTGTTCGGCATGCGCTCCACTCGTTCCTTCACTTGCCATACATGATATTTCGGGGTTGATATCAATTCATAAGGTTTATAAGGTACACCCTACTCCAAGTTATACTTGTTGGGACCTGTTGGGACGCAGGTATAGCTTCGGACCGTAATAGAATCGCTGACCGAATCGTCATATCAACTTTCTTGTAACCAGCAGTTGTGTAATGTGCTACAACCTACCTGGCCAGGTTGTCCTGTGTATCCTAGGAAGTCGGTTCTTAGGATCTTTACAGGAGAAACAAAAAATGCATTTCGAGCATCCCCACCCTAGAACCGTTATTGCACAAGAAATGCAATGTTCCCCCCCCCCGCCCTAAACTGTCTTCCTTGCAGCACTGCAAATGCACTGCAAGAATATTGCAGTTTGACACTGCAGGGGCAAATGCTGTGGGGTTCGGCATGGGCAAGGGCTGGGCACGACAAGGACACCTTGCCATTGAGCACTGCAGAGATACTGTTTGGGCACACTGCAGGGATGCCTTGCCATGGGCATTGCAGGGATACCGTGGGGTTTGTCAGTGCAGGGATACTACTCATACTCTGCTGTTGGGCGCTGCAGGAATACTCTGCAGTAGCTGTTGGTCACTGCAGGGAAACTGTGCTGTTATTGGGCACTGCAGGGATACTTGGTTGGGCACTGCTGGGATACCCTGCAGTTGGGCACTGCAAGGATACTCTGTGGTTGGGCATTGCAGGGATCCTCTGCGGTTGGGCACTGCAGGGATAATTACTCAGCGGCTGGACACTGCAGGGATATTTGCTGGTTGGGCACCACGTTCACAAACGTGACAACGTGAGCGGGGAGCTGAAGCCGCTCAGTGGGTGTCGTCGAAAGGACAAGCCTACGCAATGCAAAGCAGACTTCCCGCGGTCGGCGTGGCTCACGCAAAGCTGCCACGTACTCTGCCCATGCACGCTGTCAGCTTTTGGCATGCCGCAGAGTGGACGCAAAAATAGGATTGGGGCACTACACGGGCCATACAACCACGAGTGGCTTAACATGACACATCCTGCACTGTTGGCTGGCCTACGATGCAACTCGGACGTGCAACTGCCATATCGCCTGCCAATATTATGCGCAACATGTCGAAGTAAACTTCCAACCCAGCACTTGCGCAAACAGGCATTGCTGGCAGCGCAGCGAGCCCAGGACGCTCAGACGGGATATGCGCGTGAGTACTGCAGCAAAAACCAACCGATGGCTTACAAAGAAATTCAAGAATTCCGAAAAGGGCACCAACAGTTGCACGAGAAGCTTGCACATCAGGACCCACGAAAGCTCGGTCGCCGGCACGTGTCCCGCTTTCTGTCCGATGCGTACTGCAAAGGTGTTGTGCGCGGACAGGTCGAGTGCTGCAATTTGCGCGCAACATATGGAGAAGATTACGCGGTCGCAGCCGAGTGCATTCGCACGAGCAGCACCGTAAGCTTCCTAGGCGCGCAGTACTTGGGTCTCGTAGACCAGCTGGTGGAGGGACGCGCCAAACAAGCCCGCGCCAGAGCCTGCAGACTGAACAAGCGACATTCGCGCGCTCGCCGAACGCTGCAATCTGCCGACGTCGCGCTGCTGTACGCTCTACGCCCCACGCACCCGGACGTCTGGTATCTCTCTCCCTATGAACTCACCGTGTACTGGGAGATCGTTCCCACGCGTGTCCCCATGTCCCGGAACGAGGCCGACGACCCGACTGCGCGCTGGGACGTTACACTGCTACCTGGAGGCTATGAGAAGCTATGTTCGACCGCCGAAAGCAAAATTGAGCTTGTGCCAGGTGCAGATTTCACGCTTGCACGGATGTCGTGTGGCAAGATCCTCGTTTTCGACGACACGCCGGAAACGAACCAGGTGCGACACGCCTGGCTCCTACGTCGACGGCCACGAGCCGTGTGTCCACATTTTGGTTTCTGTCCCACGCCTCGTGCGCAGGCGGAACACCGGGAAGAGAACGCACGCATCACGGCAGTGTATGTTCATCCCTGGACGATGCACTCGTCTGTTGCGGAGCAGCGTGTGCCACTCGCGACTGACGTGCGTGTCACGAGTGCGTCCTGGGAGGATGCCCTGCGGCGCTGGCTGAATGGAGGAATTTTCTTGCAGCGGAAACGCGGAACCATGTCGGGAATTTCCTGTCCGTCCATCGTGTTCGGCCGGCAGACCAGGATGAGGCAGCAAACAGCGACGATGCCGTTAGCGATGCGGAAGTTGAGCTGGAAGCTGCAGACGTGCAAAACCTTTTCAGGCGGTCGGCGGCAGGCGGCTCCGGGGGCATCGAGGACCTCGAAGGCAGGAGTTGTTTGAGAGCGCGTGCGCCGATGCAGACAAGACCTGAAATCCAGGCGACGCAGGCGCGGACACAACCGCCGAACTTCCATGCCTCAATTACGATTCGACGGCAGCGAGAAAGGCGGCAAAACGCGGCCAGCAAAGCAGCAAAGCACCAACCGGTGTGGGACTGTTTGAACCTCGGCGTGAAGAGAATGTGCTAAGCATGGAAGCTAGAAGCATAGCAACAGAGGTCGGCCAGTGGTTAGAGAACGTGTCTACGCGTTGCAACGCCGAGCAGCACGCTTTTCTCCGTCTGGTGGCGCAGCGCATCCTGCAAGAGGAGGCCTCAATGGCCCTGAATGGCAACCCTTTGTCCGCAGACACGGAGCCGTTGCGTTGGTCTACACGGCGGCCCAGGCACAGGCAAGTCGCATGTGCTCCACCTGCTTAAGCAGGAGCTTTTCGAATCCGTGCTGGGCTGGCGTCGCGGAATCGAGCTCGAAGTGGTAGCGTTGCAAGCAACCATGGCCGACGCGTACGATTCACCACGCACTGTCGCTGGGAGTGCCTGGAGGACGGAATGACCTTTAAAAAGTTCCCTACACCTCAAACGACGCCTAAAAGCACCTTTTGCCACGAAAATAAGATACAAACAAAAAAGGTGGCCTATCTATC